CCCTGCCATCCTGAGATTCTGTGTGACTCCTTTTGCCGTCAGCTGTCTGACCTTGCTCAGGTGAGCAGTGTCTTTTCACAGCCTCAGTGTATCCTGTCTGCATGGCAGGTCAGCCCTGAGTGTGTAGTAAAGGGTAGGGGTGGCTGAGCAGGAGTCCTGGTGGCACCTAAACAGGACCCAAGGATCGTTTTGTTTGAGACAATGTGCATTTTGGCAAGATCCTCATGCTGCTTGTTCTGCTGAGAGCCACAACCCCCCGTAGAGCGCATCCCTTGATGCCAGGGACACTCTGGCTTCCATTTGCTAGCTCTGGGTTTGTGAACAGGTGAGTTGTGTGAAGGATCACAGTAAGTCCTGCTCCCCTGGAGCCCTTCCCAACTAGTTAGCTCCCTGTCTGGCATTGCTCTAGGGTGTGCACTTGACCTTTAAATAAGGTGTGACCAGACAGGACTCCCACTGCAGAAACACAAAAACACTATCTGCTTTCAGATGCCCACCCCACCCTTTGGAGAAATGTTGAGATTTTCAGAACCCATAATTCATCAAACTGCTTTCCAGCAGTAGATCAGATTGTACTGGTCTGTGGTGGGACAGGTAGGAATGAAGACAGTCGAGGCTACTTTGGTTTACTAAATTTACTGTTTGGTGTTAGATTTGTCAGTTGGATATCAGGAAGAAGTTCATCCCAGAGAGGGTGGGGAGGCACTGGGACAGGTTGCCCAGAGAAGCTGTGGGTGCCCCATCCCTGGAAGTGTCCAAGGCCAGGCTGGATGAGGCTTGGAGCAACCTGGTCTAGTGGAAGGTGTCCTTGCCCATGGCAGGGGGGTTGGAACTAGATGATTTTTATGGTCCCCTCCAACCCAAACCATTCTGTGATTGCTGAGCTAGCGCTTGTGCATTTGCCTGTGGTAGCTGTGAGTTTGGCTGGCTGCTCTCTGAACCCCTGTAAACCTTGGGTGTTCGGAGTGTTTAATAGATTAAGGATGCATAAGTTGGCTTTGAACTTGGCTACCTGATCTTATGATGCCTCTTGGCATTTCGAGACAGTGAGTAATTGTTCAGCATATAAATGATCTTTGTCATACCTTGCTTCAGTAATCTCTTTTGTAATGATGAGGAAGTTGGTCTTTGGTTTTGCATCATCTGTGTTGCCTTTTCTGCCTGGGAGAAGGAAGGAGTAAGAGCTCTCTTCCATATGTGTCTGGCATCTGTGTATGCAGACAGTGGTGTAATGGTGACTTCTAGTTTTTCTTTGTATGTATGCCCATAACTTGCTTTTTTCCTCTATATTAAATAACCTGGTATCGTCAGCAAATGTTGTCACCTCACCACTCTTCCCTTTCATGAGATTATGTAGTCATATATAGAGGCCATCACACATTTATTGATGCTGTGCCTGACAACAGCTGCAGCCGGACCACCTCTTTGCAAACATTGCCAGGTCGTTCCTCAGCCTGTGGTTGGCTGTTCTGTGTGCTGGTACCAGCGAAGGGGGTTTCATGTCTCTGCCTTTTCTTGTAGCTTCTGAACCTGGGGAACAGCTTTATCCGGGTCTGGTACAAGGGGAGCAGTCCCGAGCTAGAGAAAGGAGGACACAGAGGCAGTGCCCTTGCCGAGGAGGGGCTGGCATGGCAGCAGGGACTCCGGAGGGACTGCAGCATGTGCTGGCACTGGCCGGTGTCACTGCAGGCAGGGCAGGAGCTGGGGCCGTTGGGATGGGGCTGCTGTCAGCTCAGAGGGCAGAGATCAAAAATCTATAGGAAAGTCCATTTCCTTCTTTGTTCCTGGGGCTTGCCATAGGTTTTGTCTTCTAATGGTTTCACAATTTAATACCATGTGACTCTCTTCTTAACCGGCTGTTGATGTTAGTCTGACAAAAATATCTTGCTCGCCTGTTTTGAATCCTGAGCCTTAATGAATACATTAAGACTGAGTTTTCTGAAACATTCTAATATTCCAAGACACGTTTAAAAACTTGTGTCAGGGGAGAGAGCTTGGCCAGCTCGTATTTGTAAGCCACATCTGCGCTGTCTTTGGCGTATGGAGCTCACAGAGCTCCATGGCTTGAGCCAGTTGTGTCTGTTCCCTGGAGGCACCAAGTTTGAGAGTATTCTCATGCCTGGAGAGAAATGCTGGTTCTGCTTGAGGTTAGAGGCAGGGAGCAGACCAGCGTGTGAGCTCCAACCTGCAGGGACACAACAGGGCAGATGATTCCGTATGCTAGTCTGGTCATCTGTATAGAAGCTGTTTGACTGCTCACTTGTTACTGGACTGCTGAAAATACTAATAATTGTTCTTAGTGGAATGCAAGTCAAGCATCCAATTTATTCTGGAAGAAAAAAAAAAACTTGAAAAAATTCTTCCTGCTTAGGTCCTTTTTTATTATTGATTTTCATTAAATCAATCATTAGGGCCATGCAACCATTAACACTGGTATGGTTTTGGCTTTCGTGGTCTTAAAATGTTTCTTTGTAAATTTTTTTTTTTGCCTTGCCAGGACTTTGCTGAATGATACTGAGTGTATTTCATGACTTAATTCAGTTTATGGTAATTATTTCATCGCCTTTATTTGCATTCTCTGTTTTATCATTACCATGTTTATTGCCTAGGCATTGATAGCATTTAAATTAAACTTGTCTGGTGATTTAGAAAGGATCAGTACTAATTTTTTTTTTGCTTGCTTTTGTTCCCAATTTCAGCTATATGCCGTTACCCTTTGGGTATGCATGAAGGGACAATACGAGATGAAGACATCACGGCTTCCAGCCAGTGGTATGATTCCACAGGACCCCAGTATGCACGGTAGGTGAATTTCTGTTGAAAATAAAGTAATCCTTTCTTCTAGATACCTAGTATGTGATTGAGGAAAAAGTTCCCTCACCCTTAAAACAATCTTAAGTTTGCTTAACTTGTTCACTTCTTCCGTATTAAATCTAACTAATGCATGGTGAAAGACCAAGGGGCAGTGGTCATGGTCACAAGCAGTAATGCAGGAAATTCTGAGTTTATCTTAAAAAAAATTATCCTTCCCTATGAGAATGAAGTGGTGGAGCTCTCAGCTACCTAGAGGCATGGTGATGTCTTGGTGTTTGGAGATTTGCAGGACATGGCTGTACAACACCACATCACAGCTTTGGAGTTAGCCCTGCTGTGAGCAGGAGCTTGCACTAGAGACTTCCAAAGCTTGCTTTCCGACCCTGGTCTTCTGTAGTTCTGTGAATAAGGCTCTAATGGATTTATGACTTACAGGTCAGCTAGGGACAACACCCCTGGGATTCTTTTAGAGTGCTTTAAATTAAATCATAGGAAATCATTTACAAGGATGAACTTTTCAACAGCATCATATTGAGGAAATGGGCTGTGTCCACTTTGATTCAAAACCCTAGAAACTGCAGAGTTAAGGAATTGTTAAAAAGCAGCTAAAGGACTTGCTTTGCTGTCAAGCAGTACTACAGTCTTTCTCATAAGCTTGGCTTTTCACTTTTTTATCATTTCACTTCTCTTAAACATTTTGCAAATCATCAGTTAATAGCTTTAAGTTTCTTTAGAACTGTTTCATATCAAATATTCTTGCAGTTTCCATGCAAGTCAGATCTGAACTTCAGGTTAACTTCCATTGTTATGATGAATTTGGGCAGTCCAAAATCATAACATTCTACTAGTGCTTGATTATGGCTTTTTTACTTAGCCTGTGGTAGAGCAAAGATGCAAAGTGTCATGTGTTTTCTAACAGAGTTTGCACAAGCCTGAAGGTCTGAAAGCTGGGAGACTTATGTTGTTCTCTGAGGTATGGCTTATTTCCAGATCTGCAAATACTTCAGGCATCGCTTTCCATCTCCTACCATCATCTCTTTGCCAAGGCAGCTCATGTCCACAGGGTGAAGACATGAAGGCACCTCCTACATGACTGCATTTTCTTAGTGGTCACAGTTGTTCCATGCAGATGTCTGTTCCTGTCACTTCACAGTCACCCTTCCTGCCTTTTTTATAGTGTCTTTTACTTGCCACTTCACTGTAAGAAAATACTGCACAAACAGCTGTCCAACCTGAGACAAATCTTGTCTAGCCTGTGCCTTGACCTTTTGTGTCTCCTGGGTACTGCTGTCCTTGATGCACGGGGGTTGGCACTCACAGATCCCATCAGTTAGAGACAGGGTAGCTGTCCAGAAGACAACGGCACTTTGAGGACTTGCTGTTTGTCAGGAAATCCCTATTGCTAAAAAGCCCACATGGTCTTTTTGTCTGGATAAGTTTTTTTTCACATTTAGAACTCTCAGCACCTTGGGGCTGGCACAGCTGAGCCTACAGAAGCCTAGGGAAGGCAGTGGTTCCTATAGTGTCTCCACTGCAATTGCTGCATGCTGTCTCCAAAGGTAAAAGCCTTAATCTCTGCAGCTGTACCACAGCGTTCAGCTCTGAAGCAGAGACCTTCACATCGTACACCTAGCGCTGTCCTCCCCATCTGCTCAAGGAAGGAGAGGTGAAAGATGTGTTGAGATGCCCCAGAATAACTTGTAGATGGGCAGAGCTTTTTTTCCTAAAATGTATTTTTAAGATAGTTCATCTTCATGCTTGTTGGAGCGGTAGGAGGGGGCCAAGCAGAGTTTCAGGCCTTACTGTATGAGGTTTAGGAGAAGCGAGTATGTGCTTTAGCAGCAAGGTGTTATGCAGTTACCTACTGAGTAGCATAGTTGTCTCTGATCAACATTAATGTGTCTTGGAAAGAAATTACTTCTAACAGTTAATGAAATATATATGTAACTGAGGGAGTTGTTCTGAATGGGGCAGAACTGGCTACAGGACCCTTACAAGTCTCAATCAACCATCATTGGAGCATCTCTCCTATGACAAAAGGCTGCAAGAATTGGGCTTGTTCAGCCTGGAGAAGAGGAGGCTCCGAGGAGACCTCATTGCAGCTTTCCAGTATCTGAAGGGGCTACAAGGGTGCTGGGAGAGGACTTTTTACAAGGGCCTGTAGTGATAGAACAAGGAATAACGGGTACAAATTGAAAACAGGGAGGGTTAGATTAGATATCAGGAAGAAGTTCTTCACAGAGAGGGTGGGGAGGCCCTGGGACAGGTTGCCCAGAGAAGCTGTGGATGCCCCATCCCTGGATGTCTTCAAGGCCAGGCTGGATGTGGCTTTGAGCAACCTGGTCTAGTGGAAGGTGTCCCTGCCCATGGCAGGGGGGTTGGAACTGGATGGTCTTTAAGGTCCCTTCCAACCCAAACCATTCTGTGATTCTATGATTCTATGATCATCCCAAGGAGACAGGTATTTGGTAGCCAGCTGTCAGGGCTCACTTAGAGATTTGGCTTCTTTCTCCCAATTTGCAAAGTCTGAGGGTGTTTCCTCAGTTATTGGGAAAGCTGGAAGTGATTTTATTTTTTTAATGTGTGTGGTCTTCCCCTCAGGTTGCAAAGGGAAGAGGGGGATGGAGCCTGGTGCCCAGCTGGCTTATTGCAACCGGAAGATGTACAGTTCCTTCAAATCGACCTGCACAAGCTCTTTTTCATCACCTTGGTTGGGACTCAGGGACGGCATGCCCGTGCCACTGGCAAAGAGTTTGCCTGTGCTTACCGAATTGACTATAGCCGCAACGGAGAGCGCTGGATCTCCTGGAAGGATCGTCAGGGTGAGAAGGTGAGTGTAGTAGGAGCTGAATCATGAAGCACAGAGAAGTCAAGTCATAGAGAACTAGACTGTAGAAGGCATGTCCTCTACGTGCTGCCTAGTGCATTGTACTTTATCCAGTCTCTTCTGTCAGGCATTCAGTGTCCTCTGTTTGCTGCGACATTGGACTGGTACTCCGCTGATGTGGCCCCAAATCCCAGCCATTTCTGTGACTGAAAAGTGTGGCTCCTCATTAACTTTCTGTCCATGTGCAAAACATCGTGTGGATGTCCCTCTTCCAGCCAGACACTTGCTTCTAAATTGGAAGCTGCAAAGCAGATGCCTGCTTTGGGATTAGAAAAAAAGGGGGAGGGGGAGAGTGGCAGGGAATGGAGGTGAGTTTCTGGATGTGTGATAGCAATGAGGAGGAAGGAGTTTGTAGGGTAGGAAATGTGCTGGGCACACACAAGAGGCTTCCCCGCTCACCACAGTTGTCTCCTATCTCCAGACAAGCAGACAGCTCAGCACTAGCTGTGCTCTGGTCATGTTCATAAGCATTTATTAAACTTCCCGTGGGAAGGAATCCCCTTCTCTTGTCTGCAGCTCGTCTGACCTGATCACCCTGCCTCAGCCTGGCTTGTGGACTCTGAAGACCTAAGCCAGACTAGACAGGTACTGGGTGTGGTGGTGTTTTCTAGCACTGGGGGTGCTTTGTAAGTCACAGTGGGGTCTGTATGGCGGTATTAGGTAATAGCTTTGAGCTTGTTAACGAATTATTTGCTCAGTCAGACCTTTGGCCAGCTATTTGGCTGTTACCGTTATCTTGCCCATCCCTTACGTTTTGGTGTGTGCTGCAAAGGCTGTGTTTGCTGGGAGGGAGGGGAAGTTTAAACTCCATGGGGCTATCTCTTCTTCATTCGTGCTTTCTTAGGAGAAAACTGTATCTTATACCAGAATTCAATTGGCTACACTGTCCACGAGCAGTTGTATGTCCCTTGTCTCCCTCCCCAGTCCTGTGTGGAGTGGTGTTCTGGGGTGCTCAGGACTTAGCAGGTGCTAAGGTGTTAGTGTCAGTTGTAACGACTGAGTATGGGTCAGTTGTTGCTAGATCTCCCTCTTAGGCCATGACAAGGTAATGAGCACGTACTCAGCTATGTATGATGCTATGATTGGAGCTCCCCTCTATTCTGTTCATGTATGTGGGAGTCCACATATTCTGTCAGTGTGTGTACCTGTTCCCCATTGCATGAGACCAAAAGATTTTCCCTCCTGATATCCCTGGAGACGTTGCTTTTGCTCCTCTGCTCCTGCTGTTCTGGATATGATATACACAATGGGGTGCAGTTCCTGCCACTTCAACTCCTCCAAAAAACCAGTTTTTTATAAAACATATATTTTTCCAAATGTGTCACCAGCAAGGAGCATATTCCATTAATGAATCCATATTTCGGAAGCACCGCTGTCTGATCAAAAGATTTGGTAAAAATGTCATGTTATTCAAGCCTTGGAATGAGGCGCAGATAAAGGTGCAAACTCTGATTACTTATCTGTATGCATTGGGAAAGCCTCTTGCAGTTGTGCAGTTGATAAATGCCCAATCAGTGTGATTTCAGAGTGTGACTGTGTGAGCTCATCTTGGCATGTCTCTGGGGAGATTGCACAAATAGCTTCCATCAAAAATCCCCAAACCCTTCCCTGGGCTGCTGTTCCAGCTCTCACAGGATGTTTGGTTATCAGTCATGTAGCATATGCTGCTCCTCACCGGAAATGTTCCATCCAGCTCTGACTTGCTCAGTAGAGGCCAAGGATCAGGTTGCTGTCCTATTGTCTGACAGCAGTGGTGTCTCCACTGGCACTGATGTTGTCTGGTGCAATGCTGTAAGTCCTGCTCCCTCTTCAACTTCTGCCACCTACAGTTGTTTGCCAGCAGAGCCGCTTCATTTTTGCTGTTGGGAATGTTGACTGGCATCAGTAGTGGCTGGGACTGGCAACTGGGGCCCAATTTGTTCCACACAGAACTGATTTACTCTGGGATTTTTGGCCCTGAGAAAGTGTGCTCAATAGCAGCAACCCCACCTTGTGGAGATGCTACATGAAGTGCATCTTCTCTTTTCCTTGTGTCAGAAGATGTCTGTGCAGCAGGACAGGCAAAAATGTCGGTTCTTCCACTGTGGAGATGGTGCAAAAGTACTTTTCCCTGTGGGGAATGGCTGAAGCTTTCTTCCCCTTACTCCATCCAGCACTGTGTCCATCTAGGACTTTCTGGCTTGACATGTCTGCCACCTCAGAGATTCCCTGATGAATGGGCAACTCCAGAGGATCTGCTCAACTTCCGCGATGAAGACGTGGGATACTCTGCCATATGCTGTCTCCTCCTGGGTTTTATCTGCTATCAACAAGGTCTTGTGCAGCCAGCCTAGGTGGTGTCCAAGCCTCCTGTCTTAGGTTGAAACAGTTAATCACTGTCACATGGTTCCTGAAGACAAGGATTACTTATGTGTCCCTACCTCATTGGAAGAAATCATGGGTGTTTATTCTAAGAGATACTACGGGGCTGCACGTTAAAAGCCTGTTGAGGAGCTGTAGAGGATGAGGAAGTGAGCTTACTTTTTGTCTTTCCATTTTCTTGGTCAGCTGTGGGGACTGTGCTCCTCCTAGAGCTGTCCAGCCAGGTGCAGGAAAGTTGTTCATGGGTGTCCTGGTGCAGTCCAGGAGACCACCAGACGTGACTGGCTCTTCTTCAGGGAGATGCTGTCTTCTGGGTGGCTTCCTCTTGTGGTACAATGAAGTCTTTCACTTCTTGATGGACTCTCCGGCCACACTCACTCTCTGGAGATCTTTCTTGATGCCATGAAGAGGAATTCAGCTTTCTGCTTCCTTGTTGGCCTCCCTCATCTGTTAAGTTGCCTGTTCATCAACAATTGCAATCTGTGTGGTCTTTTGAGTAACCTCAGCCTCTGATTGATCCTGCCCACCAATAGTGTCTTTGGGCAGGAGCCCTCAGACTTGTAATTCAGACTTTTGATATAAAAAGTGTTCTTACCTAGTTTCCATAGGTCCAGATGCTTTAAAAAAAAAAAAATCTCTTGGGCCCTTTGTGCCCACTGCTGGGGATTGACAGCTTCAGCTGTTTCCACACACTGACTGTCAAATAATGGGCTGTTCCCAGAACCGAGTGAAATGGAGGGGAAGGGGGTGTGAAAGTCCCTGCCTCACCAGACTGCAGGATGGGTGACTGTAGCAATGCTGAACGCCCCAGTTCAAGACATCCACTGAGCAGCTGCTTGCACCTTCGTCTCCCAGCACAGGATTACCTCTGGAATTTTGTTGGCTCATAGAAAAAAGAATGCCAGGACCTTCCACTGGGTAACGAGTGGTGAGGGCAAGTGCTCAGTTACCTGCTGTTAGAGTGTACATGAGGTCACACTCTGCAAGGTACAGTCCATGTGTATGGTCATCACCCAATTGCCTTTCTCCTCTCCCTCAGAGTACTGCCTGCTGTGGGCCTGCAGTAGACAGGAGGTGAAATGGCAGCACTGTTCACCCTGTAAACCATATATCAGGTAGGAGGCGGAGAGCAGCAGCAGCTAATCCTCTGCAGGCTGCTGCATGGGAAAGCTCCCCAGTCTCAAACGATAGGGTACGAGTACACCACTGGTTATACTGACTGCACAACGGGGAGCAGTTACTGATAAGGAGCTCTCTTCTCCAGGTGATCGATGGCAACATCGATACGTACGACGTGGTCTTGAAAGATCTTCGGCCTCCCATCATTGCACGTTTTATCCGGGTGATTCCGGTGACGAAGACGCCAATGACTGTCTGTATGAGGGTGGAGCTCTATGGCTGTCTCTGGTATGGTAAGTAGCAACTTCCATGCCTGTCACTGGAAAGTAGTCCTTACACCACACTGACTGGGACTCACCTGCATCCCCATGTATGCAGAGGGAATTCCAAGCCCACAGAACTGCTTCTGTTGGTCTACATCATAAATAAAGGGATCACATGGGGAGAGATGATGGAAGGCTGCTGCTGGCTGTATTTCTGAGGTATATGGCCTTCTTTTTTTAGATGGTTTGGCATCCTATAGCATCCCTGAAGGAGGGACAATAGCGGCTCCTGGCTTCCCCATCGTTTATCTGAATGACTCGACCTATGATGGCTACCAGGAGCGCAGGTGGGAGAAGTTGTCCTGTTCTCTCTTGGTCACTGTGCAAATTATCTCTTCTTTCCTACTTAACCTGTCACTAGTGTCTTGTATCCCAAACACTTCTTTGAGACTTCCAGAGCTGCCAGCTAGCCTGCTAGTTCTCCACAGCATTGCAACTTCGTTGTTCCAGGCCTGTTCACTTGGTTGTTGCTCTTTGAAAGGAGAGCATGGGCTCAGGATGTGTCAGATTCATTTCCCCCAGCTGACAAAGGCTGGCAGAAAGGAAGTAGGTTTTTTGTTATTGGAAGTTGGTGCTTCTCTTTTTAAAGAGGAGTGTGTCCTTATACAGTTAAGTGCTGTCTTTGTTCATAGCTTCCATCTTTACATGGTGTGGTGACACAGTCCTGATGTTTCTGCCTCAAAGCCCTCATTGCCCTTGGCCTTTAATTGACCATATTCACTGCACTGATTTCTTTGTTGGTTCAGGTACGGCCTTATGCTGCTGTTGATGCTGCAGATCATAAGGTGCTGCTGCTCTTCTGTCACCCCACATTGGAGTGGGAGAGCTGGCTGGACCTTCTGCCTGTGCGGCTCCAGTGTCCCTGGGGCAGATGAAGGTCCTTCCCCTCTTCATTGCCTTTGTTGCTTCTGGAGTTTGATATCTGAAATGCATTCTCCAGCAGACTGCATCTTAAACTGTTGCAGAAGGTCTCCAGGGTGAACAGGGCATCCAGGAAAGTGTGCAACTCTAGGCCTGCACACGATACCTGTGAGCTTCTGGACAGATTTGAGATACTGTTTTTTGAAAACAAAGCCCTGATGGACTTGAAACAACTTGGAAAACTGCATCACTCCCTGTGAGAAGCTCCAGGTCAGCAGAGGCACCACTGCCAGGGTGGTATGAGAGGAAGATGGCTGATTAATCACTGTAAAGACTTCTTGGGTATGATGCTTTTCCAATTTGGAGTCAAAAAGCCTGAAGTAACTGGATTTTTAACAGTTCATTCCAAGGCCTGTTAATTTTTCATGTCACTGAGATGAGGTAGGGTGATGTATTACTGTCATTCTGAGGTGTCTTTGGTTTACCCACTAATTGACTCTCGTGGAACGAGAGTTCATTAAGAGCCTGTATCTGAAATTTTAAGTAACTGGCTGAACTTCCAGACATTTAGTGTGACCACTTTTTTTGCTATAAATACGGATTTGAATGTGTTTCAATGGCTTGGAACCTCAGACAAACCTGGACATGGGTATCCTCAGGAGGCAGCATCCT